CCGCGCACTGCACAGTGCAATGGAACAAAGCCGTTTTCTCGCCCTTCTCCGGTTCTTACAAACGGGCGGGAGCCAGGGTTTACTGAGGTGCTTTTTTCTCAGCGAGGGTATAAATAGCATCACATCTAAATCCCTGGTACGAACCAGGAGTTACACGTCGTCCTTTCTAGGCCAAGCAGCATTTACAGCTCTCAGCGCCGAGGAGATCAAAGCGAGCCAGGGTTTACTGAGGTGCTTTTTTCTCAGCGAGGGTATAAATAGCATCACATCTAAATCCCTGGTACGAACCAGGAGTTACACGTCGTCCTTTCTAGGCCAAGCAGCATTTACAGCTCTCAGCGCCGAGGAGATCAAAGCACAGCAAAGCCAGCGGGGCCGACGAGACGTGGCTGTTACTGGCAAGGCCGAGAGAGTAAGGGGTTCCAGGGCCCAAGCCAAAAGCGGGTCCCAAGGCTACTGCGGAGGGCTGGCGAGAGCCCAAATAGCACGATAACCTTTAGCTCCTTTGCATTTCATCGCAGCACTGACATAGTTAACCCGTAACTTAGGGTTACCGTATGTGCGAGTTTGCCGGGACGTGACCTCCGTTTGGTCCAAAGGGTGGCATGGGATGGTACTGCCACCCTTATTTCTCCCTGACTGCTGGCAGCCAGTGATTGGCGGCTGCTGTACCTGCCCTCCCCCTCCCTGCGTCCTCATTTGGGAACCTGAAATACGGTAACTCTAGGTGCAGAAATTGGCTCACACTTTTTTCCTGGAGTTCATCACAGCCTGAAATATTTTCCAAGGGCCCTACTCCAGCGGCTCAAGGCCGCTGGTCGCCCACGGGGCGGAGCGGTGGAGCCTACACCCGGGGAAGGCACTGCGGTCCAGCTGGCAGGATGTCACGCAGGAGGGGGCGAAGCCTCCCCATGCAAGTCAGCTTCCTTGGCAAGCCTGCGTGATCCAATTCTATACAATCCCGGCACATCCCCGAGGAGGAGAGAAGAATCCATTATTCATACGCTGCTGAATCAAAGAGCAGCCAATCCCAGGGCCTCCATTACGCACGTTATTTATTTATACTGAATTACCTAGATATATTAGGACTATTTAAATTTTAATACGGTGTCGAAAAAAGCATCTGCGAAAAGAAAAAAAATGTTTCCTGAAGGGAGACTAATGAAAAAAATCTCTTATCGGCTTATGGCTCTTCTAGCATTAATCTAATTTACTGCCAATATGAGCTTACTGCCTGAACCTAATGAGGCTGGTCAGTTTCATTTTCCTCTTCCCCTCTAGTAAAACAATGAGCTTACTGCAGGCCATGGTCGACCCCGGAACTTTTCTAATCACTTTCTCTTGCCAAACCTAAATATTGAGCCTAAATCTGCTTGATTGGGCCACCCACGTCCACTCCAGAAATGGCCTGAGGGGGCTACATTTTACCAATCTGAGCAGTTTAGGGGGAAAACGCCCGGCCAAGGCCAGACCTGCAAGGTCAGCACCTGGGACTGGAAATTCCTATTGGGCTCTTTCCAACTCAAGCCATAACGATAGGGACCCTGCAGTGGGAATGTAGCTGGCCATGCTGATGGTGCACGGGCTGGGACAGAATCCAGCTCTCTCCCCCCCAGCTGAGTTGGCAGTGCAGGGCTACGCACCCCAGGCCCACACGTGGCAGGCTGCTGGGAGAGGAGGCGCTGTTTTTACAGACTCACTCTACAGAGGCTAATCAGGCTGGTTCTGTGGCTAAGGCAGGAAATCTGGGATCTTTTCCAGGCTCTGCCACTGACTTCCTGTGAGTGCTCTCAGGCATGGCACGCTGGGGTCCCTACTTGCCAGGCAACGCCCCCCATATTTTTCCCCACCACGTGTGGAATAATTTTGTTACATGCACCGGGGCATATGCAGATGTGCACCACATGCTGCTGGTTGTGGGCGCTCTGCTCATCAGCTGAGTGGCACTGGAATCTCTCCTGGCAGCTGCCCACGCGCTCGGCTTACAGGAATCCTGCTGCCAAGCATGCTAGGAAGCCACATTCATGAAGGTGCCAGGCGCTCAAATGCAAGCCACAGAAACGCCTTTAACATTAAAATAATCAGACGCATTTCAAGAGCTTTTTGGCTTCAAGGGGATCCCATTCGTCACCATCTAAGTGCTGAGAACGTGGGCAGGCTGCGTGAACATGCTGCC